CTCCACGGCCTGCTTTGATTCCTGCCTCTAAGCTCCTGCCCTAAGTTTAATAAACCCTTTTCTTCCCAAGTTGCTTTAGACTATGCGTCTTTGTCACAGCAAGAGGAACCTAAGGCATATGGACTCTGAGACTCTAAATGAGGCTGGCAGACTGACGTGTTTGGGTGGCAAGCACCGTTACTTACTGAGCTATCTCACTGGCCCCCACTTTTTTTTTTTTTTTCAAGACAGGGTTTCTCTGTGTAGCTTCGGAGCCTATCCTGGAACTCACTCTGTAGACCAGGCTGGCCTCGAACTCACGGAGATCTGCCTGCCTCTGCCTCCTGAGCTGCACCACCACGCCCGGCCCAGCCCTCACCTTTTACAAATTCATTTATTTTGTGTGTATGTGTATGACAGATGCATGTGTCTGGGTGTGTGTGCCCCTTCGCATACACGGAGGCCAGAGGAGGGTGTCAGTGGACCTGCTCCGTCCCTCTCCACCCCTGTTCCTTTGAGACAGGGTCTTTCGCTGATCCTGGAACTAAGTTGGTGGTCCTCCTGTCTCTATACCCGTCAGCACTGCGGTGGGAAGTGCATAGGTGGTCACCCGTGGCTGCTTACGTGGGTACTGGGGACTTGAACTCAGGCCCTCATGCTTACTCAGCAGGCGCTCTCGCCCACTAAGCCATCCTCAGCCCCTATGTTTTCCATCACTCAGCTCATCTTTGAGAGAGGGGATGTGACTGTGGCATAAGAACAGGGTGAGGCCCTCAGGTTTCCGTGTTCACTAGGGGGACTCTCAGACCTCAGTTACAGTTCGTCCTGGCGGAAGAATGAAGACTCGGAGTCACCACCGGCGCCATCATCACAACCATGACTGTCACCTTCCGTCATCATTATCCATGTCCTTATCATCACCATCACTATGATACAGTCAATTCTAGGAAGACACAGACTGAGCAACAGGCACATGTACAGACGCACGCACGCACGCACACATGCACGCATGCACGCACGCACGCACACATGCACGCACGCACGCACTCACTCACACACGGTGGGCATTTAGGCCCAGATGTTCTGACTCCAGTGCCTACACTCACCAGTAAATCCCATTGTTTCCTGTCTCCCTATACGACACTGCCTAGATGCAGAGGTGACTCCTCTCCTGACTGGTCACTGCAGCAGTGCTGGAAGGAAGTCTGTCCATCCTTCCTCCTTTGCTGTCTCTCCCTTGTGTCCTCTCCAGCTCCTCAGAAGTGACTTCTTATCCCACAGGGAAGGTCGAGTGCTTCTCAGACTACATGACCCTGCAGATCCCGAGGAGCCACGTGCAGGGTTTGAGGCAGTGGCTGGCCAGGGTTCTGCACCTGCCAGGTAAGCTGTCTTCTCAGCCCCCAGGTTCTCCAGTCCTCAGCCATTGACTGCCTGGAGCCTTTGTTAAGGGTTCCCAATGCATTCCTCACAGCAGGCCACGGGTGCTGCGTTCCCTGGAAGGCTTCTCTCTGGGCTTCATGCTCCTTCGTTCCCAGGGCTGCCCTGACTTTCTCTAAGGCAGTCCTCGCTCATCCCATTTCCTCTCAGTTCTTGGTCCTACTTAAAAAGACCTTGTTCACATGCTTGTCATCAGTGCCACCAGCAGGTCGCTGGGAGCAGGCACAGCCCTTGTGCTCCATGTTGATAGCTGAGGTGCCTCCAGGATTAAGGACTCTGTCTCATGCTTAGGGGACTCCTAATAGATATTTGCTCAGTGGGCAAAAGGCCCCAAACCTGGATTGAAGTGCCCATCAGGTGCTAGTATGTATGCCCCTAAACTTAAATCCCTCTGTGAAGCTAATGGGGCAATTAAAAAAAACGTATTCTTTTTTTTTTGTTTGTTTTTGTTTTTTGTTTTTCAAGACAGGGTTTCTCTGTGTAGTTTTGCGCCTTTCCTGGAACTTGCTTTGGATAGCTGGCCTTGAACTCACGGAGATCCGCCTGCCTCTGCCTCCCGAGTGCTAGGATTAAAGGCGTGCGCCACCACCGCCCAGCAAAAAAATGTATTCTTTAAAAATTCTGTCTATTAGTTGTGTGTATGTATGTGCATGCATGCTAAAATACTGTGTTTATAAACATGTGCCCCAGTGTGCATGTGGAGGTCAGAGCATGACTTGCAGGACTTGGGTCTCTCCTTGAACCATGTGGATCCCAGATATTGAACTCCGGACATCAGGCTTGGTGGCAAGTGCCTTTACCCAGTGAGCCATCTTGCTGGTCCACAGTTCTTTTCAAACCTTTATTGAATGCGTACGGGTGTTTCGCCTGCATGCAAGTCTGTGCACCACATACATGCATTGCTAGTGGGACCCGGAAGACGGTGTCGATCTCCTGTAGCTGGGACTACAAACGGCTGTGAGCTACCATGTGAGGGCTGGGAGCCCACTCAGGTCCTCTGGAAGAGCAGCAGCCAGTGAGTCATCTCTCCAGTCCCTGGCCCGTGCGTCTTACCCACTGGAACCACCATCTCATGCTTGGTGGGGGAATCTCATGCCTAAAACAAGCCAAACGAAGGGCAAATTATCACCTTCAGAAAACTTGGAGCAAAAACTGCAAAGTGGGAAGACCTTCCGGAAACTTCTAGAAGGAGCCGAATAGAGAGACTGTAGCTCACCTCCTGCTGTACCTTTGGTCACAGAGGTTGCAAGTAAGACACCCCAACTTTTCCTTTCTTTTGTACAAATATGAAGAAGTTGAGGAGGGAAGCTTTCCCATCTCAGAATGCTTTTTTCTTTCTTCCTTTTTTTAAATTTTATTTAATTTTTAAAATTTTTATTTTGCAATACAATTCAGTTCTACATATCAGCCACGAATTCCCTTGTTCTCCCCCCTCCCGCCCCCCTCACCTTTCCCCCAGCCCACCCCCCATTCCCACCTCCTCCAGGGCAAAGCCTTTCCCGCGGACTGAGATCAACCTGGTAGACTCAGTCCAGGTAGGTTCAGTCCCCTCCTCCCAGGCCGAGCCAAGTGATCCTGCATAGGCCCCAGGTTTCAAACAGCCAACTCATGCAATGAGCACAGGACCCGGTCCCACTGCCTGGATGCCTCCCAAACAGATCAAGCCAATCAACTGTCTCACCCATTCAGAGGGCCTGATCCAGTTGGTGACCCCTCAGCCATTGGTTCATAGGGGCTGGAGAGATGGCTCAGTGGTTAAGAGCATTGGCTGCTTTTCCTTTGTTTTTTAAGTCAGGATCACACGCTGTGGTCCAGGCTGCCCTAGAATTCTCTATGCAGTCCGGACTGGCCTCAGTCTTCCTGGTGTTGGAATTACAGGTGTGAGCCACCACTCCTGGCTTTAGTCTGGAAATTCTAAAGTGCTGTCTGGGACTGGTGTGTCCTGAATCCTGAACTGGCCCTGGGATGGTCAGTCAGGCGGCGATGCCTCTGGAACTGAAGCGGCATTTGTGTATTAAAAGGCCACTTTTCCAGGGGAAAACGTGGAGGATACATTAAGCTGTCGCCTGTTCTTTGGAAAGCCATTATTAATGGAAAACAATAGATTAATAGTTTTAAAACGCTTGTTCAATAAGTAATTTTTATGGCTCTGGATAGAGCCCATTAAACATTTCTGTGTGTTATTATAAAGAAGTTTTAAGTGTAAAATCATAAAGTCAATAATCAGGGAATTAGTCACAGCAGCCAGCCACAGGCCATTAGTTTTAGGCGCTGCCAGAGACACCTGTGGCTTTGGAGGAAGAGTGTTTCTTTTCCTCACCAGCGCCAGGTGGGGATGCAGAAACGATGCTGCCTGCTGCCTTCCATAAAGTTGAAGGGACAGCAAGCAGGTGTGAGCAGCAGGATGCAGGCAAATATTTACAAAGTGCAGACGTGAATGGGAAACTAAAACGATCCGGGTCAATTTGCACATCCAGCCTTAGACACTTTATTTCCCCAGTGATCTGCCTTTCAGAGCCACAGGCTCGGCCTTGATCTCCTGCTAAAGATAGTCGTGAAGGCTGCACGCTCTTAAAAGGAAAGCATGTCACCAGAGAGTCCCCCACATCCAGGCTGCTGGAGCTGTCTCCTGCAAGGGCGTATTCATCTCCCATCAGCTATCTGAGAATGAAAGTGTGGGCTTTGGGGCGGGAGGGTGGAGGACTTAAAAAAAAAAAAAATCACCTCAAAAGCAACACAAGATAATTACGGAAACAGAAGAAATCTAAAGACGATAATGAAAACTGCCTGTAATCCCTCTGCTCAGTGATATTCCTCTTTGTGTTTTACTCATCCAATAAATGTTTACTGAGAGCCCTCTATGCGCCAGATGCAGCTTAAGGCGCTGGGGATATGGCAAAGAACAAAACAGATAAATACTCTTGGCGCCGTGGGGCTGGCATTTGAGTGGAGGGCAACAAGACCATTTCTGTAGTCATAGACATTTTTCAGCAGGCGAGGTGGTGATGTGTGATGCAGAAAGGGGGCCTGAGAGAGGGGCGAGGTTAAGAGGGGGTGACGGAGGCCCTGCTGGCAGAGGCCTCGTTGACAAGGGGGATTTACTTAAAGGCTTGAGTGTGGTGGACTGAGCCACACAGGTATCTAGAAGAGTGTTCCAGGCACAAGATGCAGACAATAGAAAGGCCTTGAGAGCACCCACGATGCGTTAGAAGTAACAGGGAGGCTAGTGTGGCTGAGGCAGAGGGAGAACAGTGAAAGCCTAGATGACCCTCACATGGGTCTCTCAATGGAGAATGGAGCGATCTGCCGCAGGCTTGCATGGAACTCTGTGTGTTGCTGGGGGAAACAGACCACAGTGCAGGAGAGGAGCAGGAGAGGAGCGAGAGACAGCTTCTACAACCCAGGCTGCGCTCAGAGCTGGGAGCTGGGTGGGGGTGGGGGGTCTGCTTGTATGTCTGGCAGAACCATCAGGCTTCCTTCCAAGACTTCTATCTTTGCTGTTCTTTGGTGCTCCAGAGCAGAGCAGCCATGGGCTTATGTCTGGGTGTCAGACACTCCTGACCTCATCTCTGCTGTTCTCCCAGGGTCCTGTCTGTTTCTGTCACAGGCACCAAGAGGGCCCCCAACCACCTGGATTCTCTTCTTACCAAATGTGGTTTCCTCTTGCATCCTGCTCACGAGGGCGGCTTCATCTTCCGAGCGCTGTATTCTGGCTGCTTTGTGCAGAAAGAGGTGGGTTTGAGAAACTATTTATTTTCAGGGCTGGGGTCAGAACTCAGGGCCTCATGTATGCTCGGATGCCAGGCGAGTGCACAACCACCGAGTTACATATCTAGTTTCTTTTGGTGTTGCTTTGAGACAGGGTCCCATTATAAATCCTAGCCTGGAACATATTAGCTATGTAGACCAGGCTGGCCTCGAACTCACAGAGAGCCGCCTGCCTCTGCCTCCCAAGTGCTGGGACTAAAGGTGTGCGCCACCACCTCCAGCCCTTCCCACCTTAAAAGAAAAACAACCTTTTATTTTGAGGCAGGGTCTCTCTGCACAGGCTGGCATTGAACTCACTCTGTAGTCCAAGCAGTCCTTGGATCCTCCTGCCTCAGCCTCCTGAATGCTGGGATTACAGGTGTGTGTCCTCATGCCTGGCTTGTCACCTTCTCTCCAGCAGCCCCACTGCGCCTCTCTCTTCCGTCATCGCCACCCTCCCTGATGGCCCCTCCCCCCCACATACCTTGTTTTACCCCCTGCTCCAGGGCTCACATTCGGGCTTCTTGCAGGGATGAAGGAAGACAGTCTAGGTACCTGTGGGACCACTTGGCCTGACATATTGAGGCTCTGTTGCCGAAATGGCCATGTGCTGTTGGCTTAGTTGTTCACATCCGTGGAGCTTCAACTGCCTTGGCTGTAAAATGGGACCAAGGGATTTCTTACTGGGGTCGAAGGAAACAGGCTGTGGGCAGATACTTGTCTGCTGTCAGGAATGAGAGGATACAAACTGCCATGCTTCCTCTTTAAGAGTGACCTTCCTGGGGCTGGAGATTTAGCTCAGTGGTAGAGCGCTTGCCTAGCAAGTGCAAGGCCCTGGGTTCGGTTCTCAGCTCTGGGGAAAAAAAAAAAAATGGCCTTCCTAAACTGGGCAGTGGTGGCGTACGCCTTTAATCCCAGCACTCAGGAGGCAGAGCCAGGCGGATCTCTGTGAGTTCGAGGCCAGCCTGGACTACCAACTGAGTTCCAGGACAGGCGCAAAGCTACACAGAGAAACCCTGTCTCGAAAAACAAACAAAAAACAAAAACAAAACAAAAAAAAGAGTGACCTTCCTGAAAGATACAGCAGTCCCCTGGCCCAGGGACTTCCCTAGGGGCTTCCCCTCTGGGGACTGAACTGTCACAGGCCAGAGTCTGCCAAGTTCCCCAGTCCCTGAGACCCTTCCACTTGCTTCTTAGCTCTTCCGTGAGACGGACTTCCAGGAGGCCTGCGTTAATCATGCCCACTGTGAACAAAGGCTGACCCATAATCGTGGTCTCTTAACTGCATTTTCTTCTTTTGGTTGCACGTGTGAATTTTGCCTGACTTCCAGAAAGCAAATTACAGGTTGGAAATCAGAATGTTTCAAAAAGGGGCAAGAAGGTTGAAGCAGAATGATCGCTACATAATGACGTGTCCCGTGATCACATCGAGGCTGGATGAACAAAGTGTCCGCTGCCACCCCTCATTCATTCAGGTAACAGCTCAGGAAGGCCTGGTGATGGGCATCCAGGGCCGGCTTCTCTTCAAAGGCCCAGGTAGATGACTGAGGTTCCTGAGCCTTGGGATGTAGCCCAGCAGAGGTGACAGCTAGAGACACAGGGTAGGACCATTCTCTGTGGACATTTAGTGTTGGCTGGGCTTTTGAGCATTGAGGCGTGTGTCGGGATAAGGGGTGGGTGACTAATGAAACGAATCTCAGGAGCTGTGTTTTTTTATGTCAGCCACCTAACATCACAAGAGCAGAATTGTGTTTTTCCTCTTTGGATTAAGGAAAGTTACTGGCTTGACGTCTGTCTATCCTCTGCTCCTCTTCCTTCTCCCCTCTTTATTCTGTCTTTATTCTCTCTCTCTCTCTCTCTCTCTCTCTCTCTCTCTCTCTCTCTCTCTCTCTCTCTCTCCCCCTCTCTCTCTCTCTCCCTCTCTCTCTCTTTCCATGTGCACGAGATGAGCTTCTTGTGTGTCCCGAGGACAGTGGCGGTCAGAGGACGCCCACAGGAGTCAGTTCTCACCTTTCTTTGTTTGAGACAGGGCCTGTTATTTGCAGCTCTGTGTGCCAGGCTATCCGTGGCGGTCAGGCTTGTGGGGAGTCTCCTGGCTCTGTCTCCTGTCTTGCTACAGGAATGCTGAGGTGACAGACTCCAGCTACTGCATCTGGTTTTATATGGGTTCTGAGGATCCACATTCAGGTCCTTACCATTTTGAGGCAAGTGCTTTACCCACAGAACAATTTCAGCAGCAATGGGTCCTCTTATTTAACCTAGGTCACGTCAAAGAATTCTAGATGTCAGGTTTGGGGGCTGTGCAAGGTCCCGGGTTCCATCCCCAGCACTGAGGAGCGATGTGTTTCAGATGTAACATCCGCATTGGAGAGAACACAGGCCTAGGCACACTCCAGCTGTGTCACCGCCTGGTGGCATCATTGAGCTCAAGTTTCTCTGCAGCCCTGGAACAGAGAAAGAGTTGGCTGGGAGCAGGGGAGGGTTGCAGACCCACAGCAGAAATGAGTGTGCCAGACAGAACGGAGTAGGGAATTGAATTCAAGCCTTCCTTCCCTCAGGAAAGCTTATCTTCCACTCACCCTGCTATGCCGGGCGTGGCCATGGCTGCTGCGTTGTTATTTATTTATTTTGGCGCTAGGGATGGAACTGGGGACTTCGCATCTATTAGACAAGTGCTCTATCAGTGAGCCATGCTGCGAGCCCCTCACTGATGGATTCCAGGCCAGTTCTCCACCACTGAGCCATGCCCCTGCCCCTGCTTTGCGAATGTTGGCCCATCTCACCTTTATAGCACAGCAGGCAGGAAGTGTTGTTTATACCCCCATTCTCCAGAGTAGACAAGTAGGCACAGAAGTGAGTTGCTGAGGTCCCATAGCTGGTAGCGGCAGAATGGGGCTATGAGCTCCTTTGATGAGCGGCCCCTCCGCCTCTGCCTCATTTTCTAGAATTTTCAGCTTTTAAAAGAGAAACAGGAAATCCATAATTGAATGTTAAATTACATTTTAAAAAGTTAACTTTGGGCTGAGAAAGTAGTTCAGTGGCAGAGCGCTAGGTTAGCATGTGGGAGGCGCTGGACTCCCTCCTTGGCAAGGGAAAATGTTGACTTTATTTATTAAACAGTTTTTTTTTGAGCATTTGTTTACTTATTTTGATACAAGGGTCTCATGCATCTCAGGGCGGCCTTGAACTGGCTATGTAGCAGGGGATGACCTTGAACTTGTGATTCTCTTGCTTCCATCTCCCAAGTGTTAGGATTATAGATGTGATGTCACACCTGGTTTATGTGGTAGTGGAGATTGACCTTATGGTTTGATGCATGCTAAGGGAACACGACCCACTGGTCCACATCCCCAGCTTCCAAAAATGTTAACTTTAACTTTGCAAGTACCATGTGGCCAAACGGGATGCTGAATTTAGAGCTGGGTTTGATGGTGCACGTTTGGAATCCAGCATGAAGGAGGTTGAGGCAAGAGGACTGTAAGTTTGAAGTCAGCCCTGGCTGCAGGGTAAGACCCAGCCAGCAAGTGGGTAAAGGTGCTTGCCACCAAGCCTGGGTTTCTTTCCTGGAACCCACATAGTGGAAGGAGAGAACTGACTTCTGCAAGTTGTCCTCTGATCTCCACACATGAACCATGACACTTGCGTATACACATGCATACACCCACACAATCAATTAAAAACCCCCAGCAGCCAAAAACCCGGATGCTCAATTTTGCCCGATGACTCACTGAAGGAGGAGAGGAGAGAGAGGAGAGATGGGAAGGGAGGTTGGAGAGAAAGACCCACGAGTGACAGCTACCATCCATTTAGGGAGCATCTGTGCGAAGCACATGCTGAATGCCAGGCTCTGTGCTGGTACCAAATGATCAGATCTGAATGGACACCATTCTTGCCTCGGGAGGGGTGTACAGTTCCATTCTCATCTGTCCTGGGCTTTGACGTGAACGTGCTGAGACAGGGAGAGCCGAGCAGAGGCTGGGACCCCAGCTCTGTGCTTGCTCCCCATAGTCTTGCCTCTGGAGTTCTCTGCTGCTCAACTTTAAGGAGCAGTACCTGAGACAGAGGAATGTTCAGGTCCCATTGTGGTCATGCCAGGGAAAGTGTTATATTGTTCCTAAGAGTCACAAGCCTCTTCCTAAACACCCCCAAGCATGGTCATGAGTCATGGGTCATGGGTTTGACAGTGGGACATGGTTTTGACAGTCCTGGGGGCTGGTCACTTCTCTTTACACTGGCCTGTAATTTTGGGAGTGGCCACCAGAGGGACAAGGTTGCCCGTGTCATATAACACTGGACAGAAACCAGAGGAAAGCAGAGCTAGGGGCCAGCCAAGCGCCAACTTTGTCCCTTTTGACCTGCCCAGATCCCCAGCATCCTTCCCCAGTGTGGTGTTGGAGCCCACAGGACTACAGGACCCCCACTCCCCTGGGCAGAGTCGCAGAGACCTCATGGATCTCAGCTGCCACCTCCTCAGCAGCCCCCCTCCTCCGTTTTTCCCTCACCCATCATAGAACCTCATCAAATTGACTGATTCATTCCCGGTGACTTCTGCAGCCGCTTCCATGGCTGCACCTTGAACTTGCATTAAGTTTTAATTAAAGCCGTTACACTAGCCTTGCCCCTGGCTAAATGCAGCCGCGGGCACAGGGCACATAGATATTTAATACTCTGCCTCTCCCCGCTGATGGCACAGGGTGCCCAAGGGTGTACCCGAGCCATGCCCTGCTTGCAGCGATCTGCGAGCTTGCTTAAGTGTGCCCACAAGCCCCGGGCGGGAGGCTGCGCAATAACTATTCATTGCCCTGGGTTAAGTGTGCCCAGGGGCACCGGTAAACTCAATGCAGTGATTAGCGATTGCTCCCAGGGAAGAATACCCGAGGTCCTGCTGAATGTCTGCAGGCCCTAAATATAGTCTGCTCGTGGCCACTTAAAGGGCATGGTGGGTTTGGACTGTGAACTTGATCCCACTTCCTCTGCTCCCTCCGTGGAAAAGCCCAGCCTCCAGGGCTGCCCTGTTGCTGTGGGACTGGCGTGTAGAGAAGGGAGGGAGGCTTTGGTGGCTGACCTGGGAAATGTTGAATCCCTTTCCTATCTCCTTCCTCTCTGCTCCCTGAGTGAAGGCAGCACCTCCAAGGTGAGGGGATTACAGGCTCACCCAAAAGGCTCCTTGGGGGCTGTGCTGAGCCTGCCAGCAATGGGGTGCTGGGCTCTCTGAGGCCAGGGGCAACAGAACTGAGGCACTGACAAGGTTGAGGGGATAGGGGCCTTCCCTAACTTCATCCACTTGTCTCTGGGCCTGGAAGAATGGATTCTGTACACGCCGGGGAAAGGGGAGGCAGCCTTATGCAAGAGAAATGTCAAGGCTCATTAGTCTTTCTGGACTCGGTGTCCTTAACTTTTATGGAACGAGGGTGGGGGACATAGTCGCTCTCTGTTGGCCTGTGATTCTGTCCTGTGCCTCAGTGTCCCCACCTATGCTTGCAGCAAAAGCAAAGTGGGTGAGGGTGGGGTGGAGGCAGTAGGAGGGTAAGAGGAGGGCCGTGACACGGCTCAGTAGCTAAAGGTACTCCCGCCCAAGCCTGACAGCTTGAGTTCCATACCCAGGACCTACGTGGTGGAAAGAGACAACTGACTCCCTAAGTTGTGCTTGGACCCCTACATGCACACCGTGGCAGATGCATGCCCCCCCCACTTGACATAATAAATACATAAATACTATAATAAAAGAAATGTAGGTAAGAGGACAGCTGGATGCAGCTGGGCTCCGGCAGGTCCCTTGCCCGCACCATGAGACTCAGGGGCAGTGAGGGACCAGCTGTCCAGGTGTGCCTGAGACCATTCTTATTTTAGCATTGAACGTTCTTCACTGAAGAAACCCGAGATGATTGGGTATCCTAAGCACGGTGCCTGGGTGAGCACGCTTGTCTGCCTGTGCTTATCGGAGTCCATAGGTGAAGAAAAAGTGTGGAAGAGATGGGTGGCGGGGTGAGATGGGGTGGGAGGGAGAGGCCTGGGAACCGCCCCACCAGGTCCTTAACATCAGGGTCATGGGGCACACACCCACCCTCCGCCTTGACAGCTGTGCCCTGCACTCCAGCTGCCCTGTTGGCCTGGCCCAGGGCAGCAGCTGAGGTGACATTTCCCTGGGTCTGTTGACACTTGAGTCCCAGAACATAAATGCTTTCCTTGTCTTAATGAGCAAACAATTGAGGCGGCGGTGGCGGCCATGGCGACGGTGAGACTCTCTTGTTGGACTCCCGCTGTGGCAATTGCAGAGGCGTTTGCTCACGCACCTTTGCCCACAGTTTGCAGATGTTGCTTCCTCTCTGTTCTGCAGGTCTCTAGGCCCTTGCCTCCAAGGATCGATGGTGGACAGGTAGGTGAGGAAAAGGCATTGTTCTGGAAGGTTCTGCTAGGTCTGGTGCTCCGGAGGCTCTGAGGCAGGAGGTTGTCACTTCCATGGCCCTTTTGTAGAGAGTGTCTGTGGACAGTAGGGACCTTTGTGGGCCTGGGTCTCAGCAGAACTGGAACTCCCCCTGGTGCTCTCCATGCAGAGGCCTGAAGCTGTCTGGGAAAAAAAAACCTGGTGGAACCCTGCTGGGGTAGAAAGCCTCTGGGTCCTGTCATGGTAAGATTCTCTCTGAAAGGTTCCCAGTGGCAGGAGCTGGCTCCCATACAAGGCTGCCCATTCCTGTGGTACACAGCTGTTCTCTTTATTTCCCTCTCCCCTCCTCCCCTCTTCCCCCTCTTTTGTTTTGAGACAGAATTTCATTATATCGCCCTGACTGGCCTGGAATTTTCTGTGTAGACCAGGCTGGCTTTGAACTCACAGAGGTCCACCTGCTTCTGCTTCCTGAATGCTGGGATCAAAGGTGTGCACCACAACGCTCAGACCTTCCCTTTTTTGAGATACAGTCTCATGTAGCCCAGGCTGGCCTTGGATTCACTAAGTGGCTGAGGACGACCTTGAACTTTCGGTCCTTTTGCATCTGTTTCCTGAGTGCCAAGGAGGGAACTGAGTCTCTCCTACTACGTGGGTCTAAAGGGCCAAACTCGGGTCATTAGGCTTGGCAGCAAGTGTCTTCACCTGCGGAAGCATCTTGCTGTCCCCTATTCCTTGAGTGGGTGTGTACTACTATGCCTTTTTTTTTTTTTCTTTTTCTTTTGGGATAAGGTTTCTCTGTGTAGCCCTTCCCTGGCTGTCCTGGAACTCACTCTGTAGACCAGGCTGGCTGAACTCAGATAGCCACCTGCCTCTGCCTCCAGAGTGCTGGGATTAAAGGTGTGCACCACCACCGCTTGACTTTTTTTTTTTACAGTTTGGGGGAATCAAACCCGGGGTGTGCTAGGCAATCACTCTTCCAACTGAGCTATGCCCCAGCCTCCAGTTTTTGTTGTTTTGAGACAAGGTTTTACTATATAGCCCAAGCTGTTATTTAAATCAGAGAAATCCCCCTGCTTCACACTCCCAAGTGTTAGGAGTATAGGCATAAACCACTGTATCAGGCACCCACTTTTCTCCTGGTCTAGGTCTTCCCACAGCTACCTGGGAACGAGCCAACCCTTCCTCGCCTCACATCCCTCCGGGTCTTTGGAGTCCATGCATGCCATGTGTCCCCCAGTCCTGGACTGGGGTGTGCTTCCTCCGTGCGCCTCTTGCATTACTAGGCGCCCATCTTGATTCAAAAACCCCAACTGACCATGTCCCACCACAGGGTGGCAATGAGAGCCCAGGACAACAGACCGCCAGTTGTGCTGGCCTGGATAGTACACAGGCTGAGAGGCTGGCCCAGTCTGTTCATCTGTGCTCATAAGAGGTCTGCTCCCCTGAAATGTGAGGGTACCAGCATCTTTAGCTGCTGTCCTACCCCTTGGCCAGTTGATCCTTTCCGTGACCCGGTCATCCTTTTGAGTGCCCCCACCCCCGGTACCCATGCTCCTTGACCCCCACATGAGCTTGTCTCCTGGTCAGCTGTCTCGTGACTTTTGCCTTCTGTCTTCAGACCCCATGGTTGCTGTCCCTTCGAGGGGAGCTGGTGGCTTCTCTGGAGGACGCCAGCTTGATGGGCTTAGATGTGGACATTGGTGCCAGCACAGTCACCGTCCAAAGCCCAAGACAAGAACTTCTTCAGAGGCAGGAGGTCAGTGGTGGACAGCGGGCTACGCCAGGCTTCAGGGGGGCCCTACAGCCTGACACCCCAAGGAGCGAGCTCTCTGTCACCCTGAAGTGCCAGTTCACGTGTCCACCTGTGAGACTGGACAGATTTAGGCAGGCGGCTTTGAAAATTGGGCCCCATTAGCGTAAAGTGCTCTGCGCGGCAGATGAGGGGCGCCGGCAATCATGTATTCAGCGCGTCCTGATCATGGTGGCAGGAGCATAATTACCATCTCTTTAAATAGCCCAAAGTTGCCGTGTAAGAGAAGATGGCTCACATGACATTTGCTCCGAGCTTGCTTCCTGCTAAAAATATCCTGGCTAAATAATATTTCCTGGTTGTGCTGGGGCAACAGGCCCTGGCTTGGGCTCTGACTCTTGGGGCTTTGTTCTGAGGTGAGACAGAAAGTGGAGTGGGTAGGGTGGGCACTTACAGAGAGAGCGTGCCTCTGAAAGGAACAGTGGCCACAGGGGGACCTTCCTGCTTCCCCAGGTATGGAACACTTCCCTGGAGCTCCTGCCTCTCTGGCTGGTGAGCGGCTCCTACGCCTATTCCCTCAAGGCTGCGTGCCCACTGGGTAAGACCCAGGAGTGCCCCTAATGCCCACCTCTGACTTTAGCACTGCCGGTCACTTCTGTCTCCTCGGCCAAACACCTTGTCCCCCCCGCCCCGCTCTGCCCCACCTCTTCTTCACCTCAACCTTGACTGAGGACTTCTGAAATGCTTGGTGCTGAGAGAGGTGTTTGCAGGGATGTGTGAAGCGCGACCTGTGGACAGTACTGAGAGCTGCAGACCCGGGATCTGGGAACTTTTGGGGGCCCCAGGCAGGCCCTAGGGACTGTGAGGACAAAGATGGGAAAGCATTTGTGGTCTTACTCTGCAAGATTTAGAGGCAATACCCTCCCTCCCAGGCACCTTCTTCAGTGTGGAGAGGCCCGGGGTCTGGAAGCTCCCGGAGTCTGCTGACCTCTCGGGAGTTTAAATTCTCAAGATCTCACTATGCACAGTTAGATGGATCAAAGGCTTTTGTCCTGTGTGGGTAGATGGAAGATGAGGAGCACTGCAGGTCTGATTAGAATTTTATCATGAGATAAGTTTCAGAATGAGAACTCTGGGGAGTCCAGGGGCCTGGGGGGATGGCCTTGCCAAGTCCATACACATCTCCTGCCCTGTTGGTGCTATTTGAAATATCTTTTTTTTTTTTTTTTTTTTTGGTTTTTCGAGACAGGGTTTCTCTGTGTAGCTTTGCGCCTTTCCTGGGACTCACTTGGTAGCCCAGGCTGGCCTCGAACTCACAGAGATCCACCTGGCTCTGCCTCCCGAGTGCTGGGATTAAAGGCGTGCGCCACCACCGCCCGGCTATTTGAAATATCTTTATTTAGAGACAAATGCTTTCATTTAGCAACTGCAGAGCTGGTCAGAATGTCCCCGTGAGAGGGCTGACACAACAGAATTCTTGCTAAAGTGTAAACAACTGATATGAATTGTTTCCTACCAGCAGCTTGTAATGGAAGGGGCACCAGGCAGGGTCATGGAATACAGTCTTGGCAGAGAAAGGCCACCCTGCTCCTGGTACCTGCTTTTCCAGTGACCTTCTCGATTGGCAGCATCCTCTGAGAGCTAGACAGGGTGGCCTTTTTTTCCTTCTTCTTCTTCTTTTGTCCATGCAGGCATGGTCTCAGGACATCAAGTCCCAATGTCAAAGTAAATTGAGTGAGTGGTGTGTGGGGCTGGTCACAGGTGTGGCTCTGGCTAAGACCCTGCGTGCCTGAAGCTCATTTTCTGGGCCGTCTTTCCCTCTGGTTCCAGCATCGTCTCAGCCAGGGTCGGAGATCTCAGTTCACATCCCCAAACAGAGACTGGGTCTGGTCAGGAGAGGATCCCGTGTGGAAGAATCTCTGAGCCCCAGATTCCTTCGGGTGCACCAGTCCGACACCTTCACAGTGACCGAGGACAGGGACTTCGTGGTCGTCAGCATCCCAGCATCGCTGCTGCTCCAGGACCAGGTCGGTGTCCCGGTGGCTTTGCCTTGCTGCTTCCTCTGAGGCCTCTTGCTTGGGCTATTGGTGGCACTCGAAGTCAGAAACGCACACTGCACGTCTTCGGGGGCTGGCTGGGTGTTGGCCTCACCATTTATGCCCTGGAAGTTCAGTTTTGTTTTGGAGATGGCCCCAGCAGGGACATCCATAGGACATGGGATGTATCTCATCACATGTAACCAGTGCCTTGCTGTCCCACAGCCATGCCCAGAGGCCAGAGACTCCCCAGGGACACGAGCTTTCTACAGGATAGACCTGAGCCTGGCCTTTGCAGAGATGGTCTCTCCAGTGCACTGGACAGTAGAGAACTTTTTCCAGTGTGTGGGTAAGTGAGGAACCCTGAAAACATGCCTGCTGGTAATAGGTACATGCCACACAAGGTCTTGTTCCCTGGCCTGGCTTCATTCTCCTTTGGCAGTATTTCATTTTCTGGACTGAGCTCCCACATCTACTCAGCTTAGCAATTCTGTCAGGCATGCTGCTGGAACTGGCTGAGGTAAAGAGAGGTCGAGGTCCTGAATGGTGAAAAGGTACCTGGCTGTGGATGGGAGACAGAGGCAATAGTGCACTGACTTCCTAGATCAGCCTCGTGTGTGTGTGTGTGTGTAAGCGTTTTATGTACACAGGGATGTGGAAGCCAAAGGTTAATCTCCAGTGTCTGCCTTACTCAATCAACTTGTTTTTTTGAGACAGAGTCTCTCACTGAGCCTTGAGCTTTCCTCGTCAGCTAGTCTGACCAGCTAGCAAACTTCAAGGATCCTCCGGTCTCTGCCTCCCGAGTGCTAAGATTACAGGTGCACAGGGATTTTAAGAACTTTTAGGTCTGTTTATTTGTTTGTTTCAATTTTATGTGCGTAAGTGTTTTGCCTGCATGCATATCTGGTGCACAGGGAGGTATTCTGATCCCATGGAACTGCAGTCACAGACAGTTGTGAGCTACCATGTGGGTGCTGGGAGCCAAACCTGGGTCCTCTGGAAGAGCAGTCAATGCTTTTACCCACTGAGCCGTCTCTCCAGCTCCAAGGCTTTTTTATTTTTATTTTCAAAGAAGGGACCTAGAGATCTGATCTCAGGTCCTCATGCTTATTCTTGTGTGGTAAACACTTTACTCACTGACCTTTGCTTTTATTTTTTTATTTATTTTTGGTTTTTTGAGACAGGGTTTCTCTGTGCAACAGTCTTAGCTGTCTTGGAACTCACTTGGTATCCCAGGCTGGCCTCGAACTCACAGAGATCCACCTGGCTCTGCCTCTCGAGTGCTGGGATTAAAGGCGTGCGCCACCTCCGCCGGGCTTATTTTTATTTTTGAGACAGAGTCTTAGTGTGTAGCCTTGGTTGGTCTTAAACTCCCTCAGCATCCCAGGTTTGCAGGTGTGTGCCACTTCTCTGAATGTTGTCTCAGTTTTTTTGTTTTGTTTGAGGCAATCAGAGACTCATTTAGCCCAGGCTGGCCTTGAACTCACTGCATAGACAAAGATCATGTTGAATTTCTGGTCCTTTTGCATCTAGCCCACAAAAGTTGAGGTTACAGGGGCTGGAGAGATGGCTCAGAGGTTAAGAGCACAGAGGAAGGACCCAAGTTCAATTCCCAGCAACCGCCTGGTGGCTCACAACCTTCTATAGTGATATCTGGTGCCCTCTTCTGGCATGCAAGCATACATGCAGGCAAAACACTATATATAATAAATAAATAAATCTTAAAAAAAAAAAGAGTTGCGGTTCCAGGCATATGCCACTTTGGTCGGTTTATGAAGTACTGGGGATCCAACCCAGGGCTTCATGTATGTTAGGCAACCACTCTGGCCACTGACCTACATCCCTAGATCCCACCTCAGTTGTTGTTTTTTTGTTTTTTGTCCCCCCCCCCCCCCCCCAATCTGGAACGTAAGGAACCCATAGCCTGTCACAACACTGCATCGGAAGGTGGCGACTCAGGAGAGCACCTGTGCAGGGTGTTCCATATCCATTTTGGTGTGTCCTACCACCTCTGGGCTGCAGTGCCTCGGGTCAGGCAGTGCCTCAGACTCCTTGGCAGAAAGCCCTGGACTCTGAATTCATCCTTCATCCAAGGCGAGCTGCCCTGTAAACACTGTGTGTGCTCGAGCTCCACACGGGATGCTGCAACCCTGTCTGGAAGCGGGGTTTCAGTGAAAGCCGGACTACCAAACAACCTGGTATTCACACATGCAAAACCACCAGGAGCAAAACCCATTCAGATCCAGCACGAGGAAATACACATAATTCACAAATGATGTCAATCACTTTCATCTCAGACTTCCTAACTGTCCTCAATAGAAGACAGACGGGAAGGAGATTGAACTCAGATGTTAATAGTGCAAGAATGCCCCGTTACCAGGATATGATGTCTCGGTGCTGCATAAAAATGTAATTATATTCAGAACTATATTTAAAGATTAAAAGGGGGACTGCCTACCACATCTAGCCCCAAACTCAGAATTAGAAACAAAGACAAAGGCAGGATGGGTTGGGGGGTGGGGCGTGAGGACGGGTCGAGTTCTAACCGTCTGCTAAAAATGGAAATATTTCTCAAAAGTTTTTACATGTTTCGGCTGCTTTTGTTTTAACAGTTTCCTGCGGCACTGATATTGATTTTGGAAAGGGAGGGTTGGAACTCTACCCGGCCAGGATTCAGCTTGCAATGGGAGAGAGAGCTGGGAGGGAGCAGAGGCCACCAGACGGGGGTCTCTCCAGCAGCCTGTAAGGGGAGATAAGAGAATTCTATGGAATCTCGTGGAGGGCAGGTGGACTCAGGAGGAGGTGCCAACGATGAGGTGGACTTTGTCCTGGCCTCTGAAGGGTAGGTAGGTTGTTCACAGGGAGATAATGAATAAAAAACAAAAATAGCAACAGCAATAAAAACATTTTAGGAGAATTTTTTTTCCCTCCCTGGGAAGATTTACACGGGGAAAGAATGTTCCCTTTCTGGTTTTATTAATTTCATATCAGCAGCCGGAATGAATCTCTCCCCTCCCTGGTCCCCAGCGCACCTCCTCTGTACCTCCCTGCAGCTTCTAGAGCTTTCTGTTCTTTTTATAGTCTCTCCTCCTCGCTCCTGACTTTCCCTGCAGCCCAGGAGCCTGGAGACCAGGGGCTGCACCTCATACAGGTTTTCTTCTCCAGCTTTTAGCAACCACTTGCAAGTGCCGTTTAGACCCGATGATTTTCACCAGGAATTTTTACAAAATGTTTTTCTTTGTTAATATTGTGACTCATGAGTTACACTATTAACAGGTCGCCTACGTGCCTTTGGTTCCTGAACTTTCCATTTAGACTTTTGTTTTGTTTTGTTTTTGCACATGGGTGTTTTGCCTGCACGTGTGTCTGTGTATCATGTTTATGCCCTCAGAGTCAGAAGAGGGCATCAGATCCCCTGGAATTAGAGTGACAGGTGGTTGTGACACACCATGTAGCTGCTGGAAACCGAATGCAGGTCCTTTGAAAGAGCAGCCAGTGCTCTTAACCATCAAGCCTTCTCTTTAGCCCCACACAATATATTTTTTAAAGTATCCCTCCCTCTTCCCTGAAAAAATGAAAACCAAACTCAGACAGTGTTTTAAGAGCATCCTAACTGTTTCAGATGGCAGCTTCTGAGAGCGAAGGAGTCAGTGGGGTGCCCAGCCCCGGAACAGAAAAGTCAATGGCAGTGGGGGCGTGGCGATGGCAGTGAGGGTGTGGCGATGGCAGTGAGGGCGTGGCGATGGCAGTGGGGGCGTGGCGATGGCAGTAGGGGTGTGGTGACAGTTGTCTTCATCTTTGGAAGGCTAACAAAATGGCTCAGCAGGAAAAGGTGATTGCTGCCGAGCCTGCCAGGCTGAGTTCCACCTCCAGGACTCACATGGCAAGAGGGAAGAAGTGACTCACTCATGCAAGTTGTCCTCTGACCTCCACACATGCGGTGTGGCGCGTGTGTTTCCCTGTAATAAAATGTTTTAGTATGTGAGTGAGAGGACCTGGATGGACATGCTGGTGGGGTCAGATAAGAAGTATAAACCAGTGAGGGTGAGGGCATCCGGGACCTAGGGGAAGGTGATGAAGTAGCAGTGAGGTTTAGGATAGGAAGGAGTGGTAGGCAGTCTGAGCAGCAGGAGGCCCCAGACTCCCCCAAAAGAGACAGGCCTGATGTCTCTGGAGACACATCTGAGAGATTTCTGCCTTGTAAGGAGGTAGACTCTGGTGGCCAAGTCTGTTCACTTTTCTGTGTGAAGCTGATTATAGAAAGTATTCTCTAAGAGTGTTTCCTGCCTGTGATCTCAAAGCTTGGGGGGCTGACTTCGCAACGATGGTGAGTTCAAGAACAGCCTGGGCTACATGTGGAAGTTCTGTCTCAAACATAACCACACAACAAAATCTCTACAAAACCTTACCGTTTTAACTGCCTTACAGCATGAACCAAGAAGGTTAAATGGCTGTACTAGACCTATGGATTAGGAGTTGCTACTTAGTATGTCGGGAGGATGCCACTGGCATCTGGTACCCAGAGGCCAGGGGTGCTGCTGACCATCTTAAAATGTACAAGATGCTCCCCAACACATAGGACAACATGGTCTGGTCTAGGACATCAACAGTACTTGGGCTGGTTAACCTGGGATTAGTCAGGCAGGCAACATTACCCAGTTCTGATTGACTTCTGGGGTTGGGCCTCAAAATAGGAAACAGCTCTGCAATGAAACCAGCTGGTAGCATCCGGGCTGGGCAGTGAGTTGGGGTCGGGCGATCTTTGCAGAAACCTGGATTTATGTATTTTAAGTTTGTTAGTTTTTGAAACAGAGTCTCCAACACAGACTGGCCTAGAACTTGCTGTCTAGTCAAGGATGACCTCAAACTTCTGATCCTTTTGCCAACATCTTCTGAGTTGCTGGGATTACGGCAGGTGCGTACCGCCATACTTGGCTTATGTCATGCTGGAGGTTGAACTCAGGGCCTTGTGCATACTGAGGCAAGCATTCTACCAACTCAGCTGTATTTCTAGCATATGTCATTTAATGTTAAAGGTCTGTGAGATTCAGCCACGAGGACAGCTCCTAACTCAGTTCTGGGCACTGACCACCAGGCTTCTGTTCCATGGAGAAGGGAATGATGCTCATGGCCTTTATGGCAGATGTCAAGAAGATTTTACTTCCTGAGGGCGAAGGCTGACTTCTGCTTTCCATTTTGGAAGGTTCAAGAGAAGAGTCGCTTGTCTCAACCGCCGCACCAGGGACTGCTCTACCCACCCTGTCCCCTGGATGGGAGACTTCTTCAGCAGAAGTGCCATCTGCAGCCTCTCCCCAGTTCCAGAGCCCACGAATGGCTGCCCTGGATGAGCGCCTTCAGCATTTTGTGCACCAGCCCGCTAAAGAAACCACTAAGGCAAATTCACAGCCGTGTGCTGTTCCCTATCCAAGGGTCTGGTCCCCATGAGGCACTGATGGCCTCAACTGGGCCTAAGCCCTTTCTTTCAACACCTTCATTCAAGGATGGCCACACTTTGAGGCCCCTCTCCCAGTCACATTTCTTCCTCAAATTCAGAACGTTTCTTAGGGAAAGTGGGGACCTAGAGTGCGTCCACCTAAGGGCAGAGCCCTTTCATCTGTCCTACCTGGCTCTCCCCCTTTTGTGTCTTGAGAGATGTGATTGAAGGAGCAGTAGAGACAGCAGCTGTATTCACAAGGGGGTGGAAAACTGAGGCATGCTCCCACAGTCTGAAGGTGAAGGTCCTGAAGGCAGGACCTAGAAGCCCAGCATGAGGCCACTGGCCCCATATCCTTCTCTGGGTTGAGGTTCACAGGGTGGCTAGGGCCATATGCTTTCATTTCTGATGCTTTTCCTCTCTCTGCAGCTGGAACAGGCGGCGCCATTCACGCAAACACCTAGGCCTGAGGGAGGAGGCTGGATCTCCACTGCTTCCCTTTCCCCCACTACAGTGCAAGAGCATCATGGTCTTCAGACTCCTCCAAAGAAAGCAGACTTAATTCCACATCCCCAGACTCCAGCGACACTCTCCTTAGAGCACACGGAAGCTTCCCAGGCTGCCCCCAGACCCTCACAATGGGTCTTCCTGTCTCGCACTTCCATGACCACACATTCGCCTTCAGAAGTCCCCTCTCCTCTGTGGCCTTCTTGGCGATCTGATGGGCCCCAAATGCTCCTGGGTTCTGAACCATCTGTTCCCCTAACTGAAGTTCCAAGAGCTATGATGGCTGAGCAGGACCCTGCCCAGCCATCAGGAAGTCCCTTCCCACTGGGCAAACTGTCAAGAGAGACTGTGAAATCAACAGAGTCCGTGGATCCCACCTGGAGGGAGCCTGCCCACATCAGTGAGGAGTTCCCACCGTTGACAAGGCCTTTCATGAGCAGCCTGGCTGAAGAGGGTTTGATTTTCCACCATGCTTCCAGAAGGCCTCAGGAGATACTACCGATAATCAAGGCTGAGGGGCCACTGCAGAATGACCGTGATCCCTCTGGAGAGGGGGCCAGAGGGTACCTGGACCTGTCAACCTCAGAACCAAGTCAGGGCATGGAAGGGCTGGGACTCATCATCTTGCCGGGGACTGATGTCACATTTACCAGCCCAAGAGGGAGGCAGCCAGATGCCAGTGCCTATCTGGTGACCCCAAGTCCAGAGCTCTCTGGGAGGCACAGGGTGGACCCAGCAGTTCCCCAGACAACACTTGCCAGGGACCTTCTGGCTTCCGCCTCTGAGAAGCCTGCAACCCCTTCTGAAGGAGGTACAGACAGGATCCTTCAGCTTGAGGCAGCCCCCATATGGCCTGAGGGCTGGCATGAGCCGTGGGCTGGACACACAACCAGCCCCCTGCCTCAACACACCCAAAGCCTTCTGGCTCCTACAGAAATCATATTGCCCCACTCTGGTGAGCCTGGGACCCCCCTCTCCAATGGTCAAGAGTCGATGGAGGCCAGGCTAGCCCCCACCCCTGAGAGTCATCAGCTTCCTGAGCTTTAGCACATGTGGAGGGGTGCTTCGAGAGGTCCTGTTCTTAGAAGCTTCAGGGGTGAGTCATAGGAGTGTCCAGGGAGGGGAGGAGCAAAGGAAATGGAGGACATGGTTTGGTATGCTCACACTTCCCTTCAGGAAGAGCTCTGTGACAGGACAAGGGCCCTTGGCCTCCCTGAGCTGGCCCAGCTGTGTTTTACATCTCACTATTAAATCCGGGCAATGTGCAGGCCTTGTAGCCAGGCCCACCCATGCCTAGAACTCTGGTCCCAGGGTCTCCACTCTAGCTCTGTGACCTTAGCAGGGCACTAGCCTTTCTGAGCCTCAGTTTCCCCATCAACTGAGTGGAAATGATACTAGGTCCTCCCCAGTGGGGTCATTGAAGGGGGTGAACAAGGATCATGTAAAGCCTTGAGCACCGAGCCCCGTGCAAGCATGCTGGGATCCCCAGGGAGGGAGGATGGAGTGTCGCTGCCTTGCTTTCTGTGATCACATCCTGTGGTTTCTATGGCAGCAGCTGGTACCCTTCTGGCTTGGACAGACCCATTGACCTGCAGTGACCCGGAGCTCCCAAACTCAGTGGCCCAGAAGCCCAGCTGTGGCCTGGGCCGGAACCCCATTCGGTGCTTCCCTGAGAGGGCAGTGCCTCACCCCCTCCAGGCCGACCTGTGGCTGGAAGTGGGATTTGAAATGCAGCCAAGAAGAGGAGGCCGGCGGCAGTGCCCGCCCAGAACGCGAACTAAATAAATAAATAAATAATCAGGGTTGTCTTGGCTGATAAACGGTCCCTACCTCGAAGATGATTTCTCCCCCTGTGTGCCCCCCTCCTTCCTCTTTCTCCGGGCAGATCCATCCCAGGCAAAAGCTTAATAGCCCCATTTAAGGCTTTTCCTTTTCGCCACGGAATTGAGCTGGCCCTGCCATTACAAGGTTTTCAGCTTCTCTCTGAAATCAAATTACTGACTCCATTTAATTTTTTAAAAGCTCAGATGATTTCCCTTCTTGAATCCGAACCGTGACTCCAAGGCCAGCCCCCTTCCCTGCCCCCAACCAGGAGCATCCCCTGTGGGTAACTGCTGCCCACAGATGGTGGCCCCCATGCCAAGGCAAGCCTGACACCTAGAGGAGGAAGCCAAGAGAAGGCAGCCCGGGTCCCACATCCTGGACATAGCACTGGGCGGTCTTGGCTTCTCCTGGGTCTATGTCAACTCACGGGAGCCGGGGATCCCACAATGACAGACCTTCAGATGCTAGTGAGGCCAGTGGTCAGAGCCCAGCCTGATGCCTTGGGCTCAAGGTCATTCTGCAGACAGTGCACCCCCCTTCCACCGTGTGTGTTCAAGACTCCATCCCTTGACAGATGTCTATGGAGCCACTCCTCTGTACCAGGGACCATTCTAGCTGCAAGGAGTCCCTCCAGACAGAGGAAAGTCCCCCCACCCCGTCTCTCTGTGTGTATTCTAGGGTTGGAGGTGTAATAACCACACAGGGCAATTTCAGATGTTTCTCAGCGCTCAGAAGAGAACTAAGCAAACAGCGGGCGGGTGGGCGGGCGTGGGGTGGTGTTGCTTTGATTAAGAACATCAGGACTCACCAAGGAGAAGGTCAGAGGCAAACTCAGAAAGAGCCAAGGAAGCCAGGCGCTGGGGACGGTGACACAGGCCTGTGATCCCAGTGCTCAGGATGCTGAGGCCAGCAGGGGCTACAAAATGAGACCCTGTCTCAAAAATGATAAGCACAAACAATCCCTCCCACTGGGAAAAGAAGTAGTTGGGTGAGGTCATCTAGGCTGAGTGACAGAAGCTGCAAGGGCTCTGGGTGGTCTGGAGGGACAGAAAGGTCATTGAAGAAGGTGTTTAAGCAGGATGGTATGGAAGGTAGGGGACCTGTAGGGCTTGAACGCCTAGAAGGAGACAGAGTTCCACTGTGACCTCGGTGGGTATCTAATAAGGCTGGACCTTTAGGAGACAAGTGGCCTTAGGTGGCCATCGCTAAGTGGTTGGTCAGAGGGACGAGAGCGGCAGCCAGGAGCATGGAGAACGGGGCTGGTTCAGGACTTGCTCGCCCTACTAGAAGGAAAGAGGACCCTTCTGGGTTACGTACCTCTCATGTTCTAGTGGTTCATGAGATGGGGCTGCTGGGAGACAGGGCATGCCTTCCGTTGTGGATCTTCATCCTTGCTAGAGTGTTGCTCCTGGGAGTCATTTCGTGTCTCTCTCTGTTTCTGCCACCACTCACTCTTCCTCTTCTCCACTTCAAGGCCGCCTCGCTTGGGGACATCACGGACCGAGGCGCGAGCACACCCTGAAGTTCGGTGACTCGACTCTCTTTCCCAAGTCCTCTGTGTGTTCTCCCACCTGCAGCCTCGGACACCAGATAAAGGGAATGGAGTTAATGAGGTCATCCGGCACAGGGTGGGGATGTAGCTCAGTAGGTAGAGTCCTCACCTAGCTCGAGGCCCCGGGTTCAGTCTCCAGCAGTGTATAAACTAGGCATGGTGACACATACCTGGAATCCCAGCACTCCAGAGGTGGATGGATGTTCAAGGCCATTCTAAGGTGCATGGCACATTGGAGACCAGCTTATGATATATGAGACTATGTCTAAATAATAAAAGCAAATCACTGTAAGTGGTTCAGCAATTCACAAGGCAGGAAGAGCCTAGGCATGAACTGGACTCGGCTCTGGGTGCTATTTCCAGCTGGAACAAACCGTAGGCAGACTTTTCTGCCCCCTCGCCTCACTCTCCTCATCCTCTCAAAAGTGAGACAGTCTTCTTTAATTAGAAAGTGCTCGGGGTTCTGTGCAGGACTCCTGTTCTCTTTTAAGATGTGACAACACCGGCTCTGTGACCCCCCCAACTCTTGATGTACCACGGCCAGAATGGTACCCATGACCAATGCTGGGGCTAGGGCAGGCATGTTTGTGAACATTGCCCCTGCCTTGAGGACATCTAATTTCTGACTGAGACCTCCCAGGTCTTGCAGGCATCTGTTTATGCCTGACACATCTATGTGCCGTGACATCTTGGAAGGGATGGTTGTGCTGGGGTTGGGGGTGGGGGTCTTGGCCAGCCCAGGCTATTCGATGTGATTAGACATCACGGGTGCCCTGGGTTCTCATTTTCTCCCCAGTGACTATGCAGAGACCACAGCCAGTATGCATACATTGTATTTCTGTCCTGTCTGTTCTGTGGAGTAGTTAACACAGGGCCAGGGCATGGCTGGGTTCGCCTCTGTGAGCACCAAGCCCGTGGCCCCGAGCTCTGATTTTTGATGCTTCCTGTGACAGCTTCCTGTCACAGCACACCCTTTTAGGGTTGGCTGCGAGTCTCTGCTGGGTATTTGAATCTTACTTAAACTGGAGCTGTAGTTATCAACTCCAAATTACTGAGTAACCAGAGAGGCTGTGTGTGTGGTGGGGGAGCTTTCTTCTGGCTGTCAGGGGACCAGACTGGTCCCGCCCAGGACTGGTGTGACCTCGAGTCAGTCAGTTCGCTTGTTGATCCTGGATTCAGTGTGGAGTGTCCACGTAGGATGGCTGGAACCTCTGACCGAGGATAAGGCTGGTCGTCTGTCGGTAGAAACGAAGGCCAGCTCAGGCCTTGCCTCGCCCTTGCTTCTCTCAGGTGTGGGTTTGGTGTGTGTGTGTGTGTGTGTGTGTGTGTGTGTGTGTGTGTGTGTGTGTGTGGTGTGTGTATGTGTGTGTTGTGTGTGTGTGTGTGTGTGTGTGTGTGTGTGGTGTGTGTGTGGTGTGTGTGTGTGTGTGTGTGTGTATGTATGTGTGTGGTGTGTGTGTGTGGTGTGTGTGTGTGTGGGGGGCTGCTACAGGCATCCGGGGAGGCCAGGCAGGATGACAGCAGCGTCAGAAGGTTGTTCTCATGTACCCAGCCACAGGTCACCTCTCCTCTTCTCCATAGCCACTCCCCTTTGCTTATTCTTTGACAAACATCCAAGACAGTCTCAAAACTCACTGTGTAACTCAGGATGACCTTGAACCCATGATCCTCCTGCCTCTACTCCAGAGTTCTGGGATTACAGGCATGAGCCACCTTGTCTTATGTCATGGAAGGCTGGACATGGAACCAGAGGCTTTCTGAATGCTAGACAAGAACTCTGCCAACTGAACTACATCTCAGTCCTCTCTCCTCTCTCCTCTTCTGAGACCTAGGGTGAACCATCCCACACCCCAGAGCCATGGCCCTCAGAACTGGTTCTCACAGTGAGGTCCCCAGCCAGCAACACCAGCATTTCCTGGAAAACACTAGAAACACAGATTACTAATTGTTTTTGAGACAGGGCGTCATGCTTTTGAACCCACTGTGTAGCTGAGGCTACCCTTGAACTCTTGATCCTCCTGTTTCCACCTCCCAGTTGATGAGACAGACTACAGCCATGCCCCACCGTGCTCAGCTTAGACATGCAAATTCTTGAACTGGGAATGTAGCTCAGTTTCCACTGTCCAGTGCGGCCACGGCAGAAGGGAGCAAATCAGGCCACACCCCAGATGGCAGATCAAGAACTTCAGTCGGTGCCCTCTAGCAGTGGGTACTCTAAAGGGGCTTTAGAGGATTCAGCTGCCCCCGTTGCACACATGAACACAACTGCTTCAGAGAGAGGCGGGGGAGAGAACTTTCCAACTCCAGAATAAAGGCAACATTCTGTTTCCAAAGACTTGCCACCTTGCCACCTCCCTCTGCCCACTGCATGCAGAACCACCCCTCTGAGGAAGAAACGCTTCTTCCCATTTCACGGATGAGGAAACCGAGACTCATGGCCTTGCCCAAGGTCACACAGCAACTCAAGGGCTTCTACCAGGGTCTTCTTATTCTGAAGCAGGGAATCCTTCCAGCACACCTTGGGTCCTCAGGATTACTCAGACCAAAGAAACAAGCACGCGTCGCCCATTGGCCAGAAAGGAGACCTGCCTTCCAGCTTTCTGCCCAATTTCCAGTTGCAATCACCAGAGAGAGCATCCAGGAAGCATAAATTTTGCCTGGCAGTTGAGTAAGAGCTCTGAAAGGAGTTACACGTCAGGGAGATGGGACTTTATTTCTCAATGAAATAGCCTTTTTATGGCTGGAATAAAAGTGCCAGGGGGAGCCTAATGCCAGGAAGTAGCAAGCACATTTGATAAACTCCTTAAGCTAGGGCGGGGCGGCATGGGAGGCCGTGGTCTGGCAGAAGTCCTCACAACTCCAGTTAATGTTTCCCTGCACATTCAAGTCATGGAAGAGATCTTGAGGGGTCCTCATGACCCGACCGACCTGTGGGAGAATGATTGACATGGGACCCAGGAAGAGAGCCTGAAACTTAGTCTCCCCGTCTTAAGAGCAGAGCTGCAATGTGGAGAGCAGTCAGCAGGGGGCAGCATAACACACTGTTCAGGCTTGACCTGTGGCTGCTGCAGGGGCAGGGGGGGTTGGGCATGGGGAGGGCCTCTGGGGTGTAACCCTCAGAAGAGGTCAGCAGTAACTCTCCCCTTAGGAAGTCTTCCTCCTCATTCCAGCCTTTCTGTCTTCAATTTTCTCATATCAAAGAACAGTTTCCCATTAGCCAGAGCCTCGTACGTGCCCTCATCTAAGCAAGAGTGGTGAGGGTAGGAGCGTTCCATCTCTTGCCCACCCTCTGGCTGGCTTCTTCAGCTTCTACAGGTTTTGCTTTGGGCTTGGCTAACCCCTTGACTTCCTTCCCATGGGGTGTCTCAGATGGTCTTAGTGTAAATATGTCTAAATGGGCCGATTC